CACCGTAGATGGTACGCAACACCTTCCGTTCGAAAACACCAAGGGCGCGTTAGTCCTCCACGAGCATAGTCCAGGTCTCGTGGCCGTAGAGGACCACCGGTCTAATCAGCGTCTGGTAGACAGTCAACTTCGTGCGGCGGCGAATTTTATTCGACCGGAGCGTCCTCCGGAGTCCAAAGTAGGCACGATTCTCAGCCATAATGCGTCTTTGAATTTCTCTGATGGTATCATTTTCGGCGGTCACCAGTGAGCCCAAATACACGAACTCATTGACCACCTCGATTTCGTCACCGTCAATCTGAACTCGGGGTGGGAGGCTACATTGTCTTCCCTAGAACCTCTTCCTTTCATGTATTTTGTTTTTGATGCGTTGATGGCAAATCCAATCCGTCTAGCTTCAGTCTTCAGTCTGATGTACGTTTCCGCCATCATCTCAAAGTTCCGTGCCATAATGGCAATGTCATCGGCGAAGCCAAGGAGCTGGATGGACTTCCTGAATATCGTGCCACTCGTGTCTATCCCAGCTCTTCTGATCACACCTTCTAACGCGATGTTGAACAGCAGACACGAAAGTCCATCACCTTGCCGTAGCCCCCTTCGAGATTCAAAGGGACTCGAGAGTGTCCCCGATACTCGAACAACGCACATCACTCGATCCATCGTCGCCTTGACCAATCGCGTCAGTTTATCCGGAAATCCGTACTCGTGCATAATCTGCCATAGCTGATCTCGATCGATTGTGTCGTATGCGGATTTGAAATCGATGAACAAATGATGTGTGGGCACGTTGTATTCGCGGCATTTCTACAGAACCTGCCGAATCGCGAAAATTTGGTCCGTGGTAGCGCGGGCACCCATGAATCCCGCCTGGTATTGCCCCACGAACTCTCTTGCAAATGGTGACAGGCGGCGGCATAGAATTTGGGAGAGTACCTTGTAGGCGGCGCTCAGCAGTGTGATCGCGCGGTAGTTGCAGCAACCCAACTTGTGGCCCTTTTTGTAGATTGGGCATACGACACCTTTCATCCACTCCTCTGGTAATATCTCCTCCTCCCAAATCTTGTCAATTACCCAGTGCAGCGCTCTAGCCAGTGCTTCACCACCGTATTTTAATAGCTCACTTGGTAGTTGATCTACACCAGTTGCTTTGTTGTTCTTCAGCCGACCGATCTCCTCCTCAACTTCTTGAAGATCAGGGGCCGGTAGCCTGTCGTCTTCTGCGCGTGCTCCAAGGTCTGTTGCCGTGCCACCTTCGTTTTCTGCTGCTTCACCGTTGAGGTGCTCGTCATAGTACTGCTTCCACCTCTCAATCACCTCACACTCGTTCGTGAGAAGGTTACCGTCCAAGTCCTTGCACATATCGGCTTGCGGCACGTAGCCTTTGCGCGAACTATTTAGCTTCTCGTAGAACTTCCGTGTGTCGTTTACGCGGTACAGATTTTCCATCGCCTCGCGATCTCGGTCTTCCTTCGGAAAACCGAGTTTTGTCTGTTCCGCGCTTGTCTGTATCGCTCCACATTCAATCTCGTGCGGTGTTACAGCATTCTCGCCCGTGCTGCATGCTTCTCCTCTACTAACAGTTTGCATTCGCCGTCAAACCAGTCATTTCTTCGGTCCGGGATTGCAGTACCTAGTGCCGCTGCAGCAGTACTACCTATGGCTGAACGGATGTCCTTCCAGCCATCTTCAAGACAAGCTGCGCCAAGCTGCTCTTCCGTGGGTAGTGCAACTTCCAGCTGCTGCGCGTAGTCCTGGGCAACTCCGGCGTCCAGTAGTTGCTCAATGTTGGGTCGCGGCGTTCGACTTCGACGTGCTTTGAACCAGTTTGGTGCAAATCGTGTCGCAACGGTACATGAACTGACCCACGATTACGAATGGTGCTATGTGAGATCTCAAGACAACCCTGCGGACATAATCTCGCGTGGGGTACTACCAGCAGAACTACTCACGATGGAGCAGTGGTTTAAAGGTGCACCTTCATTGTGGCTGCAGAATCCAGCACACGATGAAGGCAGGATTTGTTTGGACGACAACGAACTTCCAGAACTCAAGTCAACGACTGTTGTAGCTGCTGTACATCGATTTGAATAAGGTGAGCATTTTTCGACGGCTGCAAAGAGCGTGGGCGTATGCATTGCGGTTCATCAAGAACATACGCACGAAGGTTTGTAATACGTTCGACTTACAAGCACAAGAAATCGCTGAGGCAACACAAGTAATCGTGAAGCTCGTACAGAAGGAAGAATTTCAGGAACTTTTCGACGCACTGAAGGATAAAAAGAAGAAGTTGAAGCAGTACCAAGGTCTTGCTCCATTCATTGACACTGACGGACTCATTAGGGTTGGCGGTCGTCTCAAGTATTCGTCAATACCTTATGATGGTAGACACCAAATCTTGCTACCGGAGAAACACCATGTGACTCAAATCATTGTCCGTCAGTTACACGAGGAACATTTTCATGTCGGGCAGCGAGGCTTGCTGTCTATCGTGCGTGAACGATACTGGCCTATAAACGCAAAGCTGCTGATAAAGAGGATCGTCTCCAAGTGCTATGTCTGCTTTCGCCATAACCCAAAGCCAGTGAATCAATTCATGGGCAACCTACCGAACTATCGAATTACACCGTCGCCTGTGTTTTCAAATACTGGAGTCGACTATGCTGGTCCAGTGTATCTCAAGGAAGCTGGTCCGAGTAGAAAGAAAACTGAATACAAGGCCTATATTGTTGTGTTTATTTGTTTGGCCACCTTGGACAATTCATATTGAAGTGGCATCCAACTTAACGGCCGAGAATTTTATCGCTACGCTGCAGCGCTTCATTAGCAGACGTGGTATGGTAACCAACATGTATTCCGACAATGGGACGACTTTCGTCGGTGCAAATCATGAGCTGGCAGAGTTGCGCATCTTGTCAAGCCCATCAACGAAAACTCAACGATTTCTGTACTTCGAAGGGAATTCAATGGCACTGTATCCCTTCGCGCAGCCCCCACTTTGGTGGTATGGGGTAAAATCAGCTAAGCACCATTTGAAGCGTGTCATCGGTGAGACCCGGCTAACGTTTGAGGAGATGACATGTGAAGCCATCTTGAACAGCAGACCGCTAATTCCAGTTTCAGACGATCCAAATGACATCGAAGTACTGACTCCATCGCACTTCCTTATTGGAAGATCGGCCTTGAGTATTCCTGAACCGTCATACTCCGAAGTGAAAGTTGGCCGACTGAATCGTTGGCAACACATCCAGCTGAGGAAGGAGCATTTCTGGAAGCGCTGGTCGGCAGCAAATCTTCCGAAAACCAATCCTTATGATATTTTTTTTTTATGAACAAATAGAATCGATTCCTTGCGATGAAGGCAAGAATGACAATTGTATCAAAACCGAATACTTCATAATTTCTCAATAGTTATGGAATAATACGCCATGTACTAAACTAAGGACGCGGGATGTACTACAATAGATCAAATTACTGGTCGCCTTGGTTTTATGTTGACCAAAGCAAGATTTCCATGATGATTTTGATTGCGACAAGAGAACGCTAGAAAAATATACCAAGTTGAAAATGGAAACTTCTAGCATCGGAGATAGACTGCTTGTCGGCAGGTCTACCCATGGCAAAACTTTTACATAAGCCTCTGCAAACACAAAACCCCGTAAAGTATCGAAAAACCCACGTGTCAGAAAGAAAAAAAAAAACAAAATCTGACACAAACAACGCCATCAGATGTGGTACTAATTTAACATATTGTCGCATTGATTAGCGAATCGGTGCAAATTACACCATTGTCGCTCGTGCTCCCCAGTATCATAGGCTATCAAACATAAATAATAATAAAAAACCAGTAGCATTTTCCGCATAACGGACATTCTCCTGTTTCGGCTTCCCTCTATATGCAATCCGAGCAAACCTCGCATTCTACACACAAATGCAACCCATCAACGTCTTCCCCGTTTCGCTCCTCCAATACGAACAACACTACGCCTACACATTACAATTGGTAGAAACAGAGTACCACCGTAGAGGTATTATAAATGATGGTATGGTAAAATCGAAAATAATTGATTTCAAATTACCTCTCGCGTGCTGCAGTCCACCCCAACGAGTGTAGACTGTGGAATGCAACAGCAACTATACCAGACTAGCGCAGGCATAACTTCGTGGGCATCATTATCATTACATGTTACTTATAGCAGCTCAAAACCGGCCGCAAATTTACAACATTACAAACGAAGGAAGGTACCTTCTAGTCGACGGGTAAATATTTTTTCGGTGTACTCAAAGCAAAGCAAATACAAATTCCCTTTCGCTTATCAGTCATGTGATATAAGGCGGTGGACGGTTGAACGGTGGTGCTCTGCACACGGAAGAAGCGGCTGCCAAAGGAAGAAATATGAATCAATGCCAAATTTATATCTGCTTCTGCTCGCTGCTCCTATGAAAGCCATCGACCGGCCGCTAGGCAGGGGCCTCAATAGAAGGCATTGTGCGAGCAGGCAGAGTGACACAGATGCACTTTCGCAAATCGCATTATTACTATTATTACTTATATAGTGCGCCTATCGCCAGTCGCCACTCTCACGACGCACGCAGTCACACACTACTTTTCCACCCATTCGACAGTAATTTAATGTTTATACTCCGCTCCGCAGGCCCCGTGCTATTATTTACCTACACCTAGCAGCTCTTCCACACAAAGTACAAACATATTGCCTGCCTCTAAAAGCTGCTGCTAATTAAAATTGTACCACTCGGCTCGTTCTTTCGCCCAGCGGCCAAATCTTCCTATCCCGAACGCAAACTCCCCGGGGATTAAGCGGAGTGTTCGGCTATGTTTATGTTGCTTCTAAAATTATCATCGCCAGGCACTACCCGAGAGAATTCTCCCGAACAGAGGCCGAGGCCACCACCTCTTCCAGGCAGGAGCAGGAATGCCAAACAAAGACACGGGAAGAAAGGAAAACCCCCTTCCCACCCCCACCACCCTTCCCCTTCCTTACCTTGTACACATCCCCGTACGTTCCGGAGCCAATCTTGTGGATCAGCTCGTACTCGTCCTCCGGATTGCGGCGCGAGATTCCGGAACTCAGTAAACTGGTTGCGTGGGCCATTCTGTCAACATTTTTTTCTGCCTGCCCTCCTCCTGCTGCGACTCGCCTCCAGCCTGATGCCTGAAGTAGCAGCTTATCTGACTTTTTCGTTCCCTTTCCTGTGTCTTCGGGAATCCTCCTTCGAATGAAGAAAAAAAAAACTTCACTTCTTCACCATCGACGACGACGACGGCACTTCGCTACACTTCCACTAGTGGCCTAAATTTCGACGACACGGAACAAAACTTCACTGGCCACTGGGGCAGCAGCAGCAGCACACTCAGCACCGTAATTACTATTTCCTCCAATCGGATTCGATGGAACTGTTCTTAATTTGTTATAATTTCGTGGCACTCGCACTGCTACACCTCTTCTCTGCTCTGGCGAATGAAATTTTTTCGTTTTCACTCTGCTGCGCTGCGATGATGGCTGATGCGTGTTTTGACAGTTGCTCCGCACCTTCACGGTGAAAGATCGAAAAAAAGGGAATGAAAAGGGAACTTGGGTGAGGCCGCCGCTTGAAAAATTTGACGCGTACCGCGGGTTGGCGTTCTGGATAAGTCGATGAAACGGAAAAGGAGACAATCGCCGGATTGGTGTTTTTAAATACAGTATCCGCCTGCTAAGCCGACAAACTTTTGGCCTTCCAAATGCCGATTTGTTTTTTTTCCTACATTAGCCCCATGCTAAATAATTAACATTTGAAAAGGGCGTATTTTATACATAAAATCGTTAATATCACGTAATATTAATGATTTATAAGCTGAACAATACATTAGGTCCTAATTAACATTGATCGATTGCCTTCATCGACTTTCTCTTCCGTTAATAACTTGGGTATAGAGAACCGCAGGGGGTAACTCACCCTGCCACCTTGTCACTGTGCTGATTGTGTTTCTTGTGTGTTTTTGGGTTTTTCAGGGTGTTTCTGTGTCAAACAAGCTGTCAAAACGTCAAGTGCAACATACAATGTTTACTGGCAACCATGATTCCCACAACGCTGAAAATGACAGATACCCCTGTGATCGTAGTTGTTTATTGCCGATGATTTAATGTATTGTGCCGGCGCCGGTGGTGTAGTGGTAAGCGTGACTGCTTTCCAACAACCCAATGGGTCTGGTTTCAATCCCAGCCGAGGTCGGTGGGATTTTTCTGAGGCATAAAAATCTCTGGTCACGTCTTCCTTCGGAAGGGAAGTAAAGCCGTTGGTCCCGGCCCATGTGTGTTGAATGGGTGCAATATCCTACGCAGGTGTGGAAGCTGCCTTCCTGAACATTCGATTGCCGTCAATGGATGACAATCGATGTCCGTCGGTGATTGGCACTAGATTGCGGAACAGAGACCGACGTTAAATAAAGTAACGAAGAAGAAGAAGATTTAATATATTTCTTATCCCATCCCGATTGTCCAAGACCGTTCCCGATTGTTATAGGTAAGTTATATTACTGCCTTTTCAGAAGCAGTGATTAATGTCACTATGCGGGAATCTCGGAAGTAATTCTAGACCGACAATAAAAAAAGAAATAATCGGAACAAAAAAACGTAAAAAATTACTTTAAACACAAATTTCTCGAGAACAGAAACACATCCACGCAATCTAACACCAGCATCTGATAAAAAAAACCTCTTTTATAGATTGGCATTGTTATTTTGCGTGGGTGTGTTTTGATTCTTTGTAAATATATAAATTTTTATAATGGTATTAAACGGTTAAATTATCAATGAAGACCATTGAACAAATCAAAATCATAAACTAAACGAAAGATATTAAAAACTGACCGTATCCAGATAGCTTATGGTTTCCTGCGCTAAACACCCATTGCTATCTGGAGCCATAACGTGCGTGACATAATTATTGTCGATGTCTTGCTTGTCTATTTGGGAATTACATAAATTGACCGCACCGGTAGATTGGATAGCATAAAAATTCCCCAACAGCCATATGCCCCTTTTCATGACACCTACTGGACATTTCAGCGGAACGGTTGTCACCGGGCAACTTCGTATTTTTTGGTGTAAATGTATCTTAAATTATTTACACAGAATTCAAACACAATAACTGAAGCCTACCTGTTTGGTATATGAAATTTGTGACGTGGCATAACACTTTCTCAGCAAGCACGACCCAATCTCCAATTGACACCTGCTCCAATGGTGAACTCTGTGCCTGAGGTGTTGGATCATTTGATCTTAATTGCCGAAACCACTGTAGCCTATCACTAGATCGTTTGAGTTGACCTGATGACAGCAACCACAGGACGTAAGATTTTCTTATATTGAGCAATGTCCCATATAGTTGTAGGGGGAAGGTGTAAGGAGTGCCGTCAGGAACGTGGTGACTCATCAGCTCTGCGGCTTCTTCTCTGCTGAATGCGTCATCCACATTTTCGACCGTAGTAAACTCCGCGTTCGTTTCCGCAGGTCTACACATATGCACAGACGTGCAGTAACATTTGTGTTCAAGGTTATCTAAAATGTAATATTAAAAGCATACTGCTGAATGTTTTTTAATGTTTTTCAATCTTGAGCTTTCAGTGTTGTCGGCTTCATCAGCATAATCGGAATCGTTAAAAGAGTGAAGTGCCACAAATTCAAACTTTGGGATTATTTGCTTTCCATTGATGCTGTTGGAAAAATCAATGGTTTCCTCGCTACATCCCATCGAAATTAACCATTCTCTGGCTTTCTCTTCGGCTTGCTGGATTGCGGATAATATCTCAAGGTTGGTTGGCAGCTTTGGCATCTTGTTTTCTTTGTAGGGAACGTCAGCTGAGATTTGTTCCTATGAGAGACGAGTAGCTTCATATTAACTTTCCTCATTCTCTCTTCAACTTCTTTCACAGTGAAGTTAACAGCCGTATGGTTAACGGAGGTCATGGACCGAAGTTCCCGGAACGCACTCTCGCATGGTTAACTAGACAGGTGGTTGACGATGAAGTGCTCCGGACTGTCGCGCATATTCACAATGAACTGTATTAGGTCATGAGCAATGAGCTCCAGTAAAATGTAGGCGTTGGTGGTTGGACAGTGCTGGAATGATTGAGTTTCTTTCATGCTCTGCCAACGCCAGGCGCGCAATAGCAGTAACGAAGTCCTGCGGGAAGTGTAAAAGTAAGGGTTTGCGTTTGCATGAATATGTGAACGAGAGAAATAGGTACATACCACACCGAAACAACCCGGTCGACTGGCACCATATCCTCATCGGTAAAAGAAACGTATACGTTCTTCATCATCTCCAAATAGATGGCGGTCCCTCTACTTCCAACAACGGTTTCCTTTAAATGTTGGATTAAATCCGATGCCATCAGCTTCAGCGAGGAATCAAACTTCATCTTGTCATTTGGGTTCAAATCAGAGAGATTCAATTTATGAACCCTTTTGCACCCTTGCTGAACCATTTCGTTCACTACGGCAACCAACACGACGAATTGCCCTACAATTAATGGTGATGTGATGTCATACATATTCTATAACTTTTCATATGCATTAAACTTTTTACCTAAACGCATATGCCGCTTCGGGTCCAGCAAAGCATGGCGTAGTTTGTTCACCAGGTGCACCGTATCCTGGATGCACACTGGTCCACTGGTGATATCAGCATCAAAATATGGCCCATACACTTTGCTAGAAAAAGAGCTAGGTACTGCTGACCTTTCCTTCATTGCCTTCAGCAGTCGAGGGTCACCATCCGATGAGATACTGACCACCGAGATTCCAGCTTTTTTCAACTTGGCTTCTACAAAAGACCACCGGGAGCTCACATCTGCATATGTAAATCGGTTGTCACTACACATGTATAATATGCAGATGGGTGAGGAACCAACAGCCATTGGCAAAGCCATTACGACATAAATATATTCACCGACATGGTACGTTTGCAGGTCATCGACCATTTTACGCAATGAAGTTGCCTTGAAAAAAAATACTTCATCGGCATTCCACGAGCGTCAAATGGTGCTACCAAACCTCGCAGCGAATCAGACCGTTGGTCGTACTCTGCATTTGGTGACACCGCAGTTCCGTCTTCACTCAATGCCACAATCAACGGGTATCGATGGGCATTCAAATACGTCAGGAGGGACTGCACCATGACCGTTCCTTCCTGCGTTTCTGTTGTGTGTTTTCCAATGTGCCTCTTAATTGTTTCCACGCTCGGCAGCTTCATGTTTGCTTGTCGAAACCGGTAGCTGGTGTTTCCTCCCGTCAACAAGTCGTATGCAGCTGTGTCTGTTGGAGTGTACCACATTCCTCGCTTACTATACAGGAAGGATCGGCTATTTATATTATTACTTATATCGAGCAGTCAACTTTCCGTTGCACCTAGTTCCAGTATGCATGCGCTCAAAACTCTCGACGGTGCATAACACACGTCGAAGTCGAACGCCGCGACCCAACATTGAGCACTACGGGACGCCGGAGTTGCCCAGGACTACGCGCAGCAGCTGGAAGTTGCACTACCCACGGAAGAGCAGCTTGGCGCAGCTTCTCTTGAAGATGGCTGGAGGGACATCCGTTCAGCCATAGGTAGTACTGCTGCAGTGGCAATAGGTACTGCAATCCCGGACCGAAGAAATGACTGGTTTGACGGCGAATGCAAACTGTTAGTAGAGGAGAAGAATGCAGCACGGGCGAGAATGCTGCAACACCGCACGAGATTGAATGTGGAGCGATACAAGGGCGACAAGTTGGATTGCTGTAACTACCGCGCGATCACACTGCTGAGCGCCGCCTACAAGGTACTCTCCCAAATTCTATGCCGCCGTCTGTCACCATATGCAAGAGAGTTCGTGGGGCAATACCAGGCGGGATTCATGGGTGCCCGCGCTACCACGGACCAAATTTTCACGATTCGGCAGGTTCTGCAGAAATGCCGCGAATACAACGTGCAAACACATAATTTGTTCATCGATTTCAAATCCGCATACGACACAATCGATCGAGATCAGCTATGACAGATTATGCACGAGTACGGACTTCCGGATAAACTGACGCGATTGGTCAAGGCGACGATGGATCGAGTGATGTGCGTTGTTCGAGTATCGGGGACACTCTCGAGTCCCTTTGAATCTCGAAGGGGGTTACGGCAGGGTGATGGACTTTCGTGTCTGCTGTTCAACATCGTGTTAGAAGGTGTGATCAGAAGAGCTGGGATAGACACGAGTGGCACGATATTCAGGAAGTCCATCCAGCTCCTTGGTTTTACCGATGACATTGACATTATGGCACGGAACTTTGAGATGATGGCGGAAACGTACATCAGACTGAAGGCGGAAGCTAGACGGATTGGACTTACCATCAACGCATCAAAGACAAAATACATGAAAGGAAGAGGTTCTAGGGAAGACAATGTTAGCCTCCCACCCCGAGTTCAGATTGACGGTGACGAAATCGAGGTGGTCGATGAGTTCGTGTATTTGGGTTCACTGGTGACCGCCGAAAATGATA